GATCCAAGGTTATGCTTGTACGAAGTCATTCCAAAAGGATCGGACGACATTAAACGGAGTTCCTCAAATATTGGAAAAAAATTAAAAGCAGTTATCATATTCTTGATGATTTAGTCAAAATTTGAAGAACCAAGGTGCCAAATCGTCCATACATCGACAATGACCCATTGACCACTTATGGGGATTAGTTGGCACACTACAAGACGAAGCTCTATTCAATAATGATGTCAATCCTCACGAGCAAATGAGCATGAATGCGTATTACCTTATGTATCGAACAATCTCCTTCATACTAAATAATAGAATGTCATTTGCATTTCCACCGATTTGGGACATTGTGTGACTACTACCAATTTTGATTTAGAAGTTTGCATCAATGATTCCTTCTCTTTACAAAATGATGGACATCTTTTCCAAAAAAAATTTAAGATCAACTTATATTCTCAACAAATGGGAACCATAAAAATGTATTTCATGTTCTCAAGTTAAGTCATGAAATTTTCATATTAAGCCAATATAAGCACCCCACTGGTGTCGAGTGATTTATAAATACTTAGTCGATGTCAATAATTTTTGCAGCAGAGTGTGCACACCCTACCGGTGTCGAGAGTTTGAGCACCCCCACTAAACTCGAGAGTATAAACACCCCACTGGTGTCCATAAGTAACGTGAGCTAAATAGTCAAAGGGTGTAACGAGGATACGATATCAGGCTATTTGTAGAGGCTTGTCACTGCCATTTTCGAACATCTCTATCAAATCAGGCTCGACTAGAAAGGGGTTGAGTTAGCCAAATTACTGTATCAAATTTCTCAAGTTTCTCACAGAATCCTAATGACTAGAAGGTTGGGGAAACTGAATGATCCTATTTGACGAACTCGTTGGTGCTCAAAATCAAAAGCGTCAAAATGACACCATATAGGGGAAATTTCAAAGCCAAGTAAGTCCCACCCACACAAAAAAAGAGCAAAAACAAAAAAAAAAAGCCAAAAAGGCAACAAAAAAATCAAAATAAAAAGGAAGACAAAAAAAAGCTCGTGGGACTTACACGTTAGATACCCCTGCACGAGCGCTTGAAGTCATAAAACTAGTCACGAGTGAAGGTTATTGACTACCTTTTCTAAAATGCCAAAAGGATGATTTCGAGTCTACCGTCAACGTGGTCACAAAAGCGATATAGAGTCATTCTCTCAACCAATTTTTCTACACACTCCTGCGAGGGCTAGTCATCAAACTAATCACCTATCCAAATGAAGAGTATTCGTCTGCCAAACCTGAAGAAATGACACAAGTAAACTCGAAAAAGATGGGGCACCCAAGAGAAGAATGTCTGCCTGATCTAAAATCCACTCCATGATCATCCTCATTTTCCATCACTTGAACTCTCCCTTTCAAGTTAAACAAAAACCACCATTATAATAATACTTCAGCAGCCATGCCTGCACCACAGAAGGGTTTTCCATATTCATTATTTTGACAACCAATGAGAAGTCAAAGCTTGTATCATACCAAGACCTTCATCATCCATCCTTTCAAGGTAAAAAAAAAAAAGGCCCGACAAGTGACAAGATTTCCAGGATCAAATTTCTACTCAAATTACCTAGTCGAGCTTATCCCTCAAAGTCAAAATTTCAAGACAAGGGGGCAACCTAAGCCAAAATATACCCGCAAAGATACCCAAGACCAGCCACCATTCTCGCAAAAAATGAGAGCTCCACAACCAAGATTTCATTTACCCATCTATCAGTCTCATACTTTGGGGGCAAGCTAAAAATTCCTCAACAATGAACTTTTCCCCAAGAAATTATCTCGCCTATCCATCAATCAGTCTCATACTTTGGGGAAAGCCAAACATCCCTCCACAAGGAACTTCTCACGACAAGAAAAGACGATCCCCATTATATATCAACCAGATTCATACCTTGAGGGCAAGCCAAAAATCCTCAAAATGAAGCTACCTATGACTAAGGCCATATCATAGGATCTTCCTTTACCAACCTCTCATTTGCGACAAGCATAATTTCCATACCATGAGAACTCTTACAGTTGGAGTCATACCAAACCAAGCTTCTTTCAGGAAAGTTCAAGAAATTTTACCACGAGAACATACAAAGATCACCCGAACTCTCCATGATCAACAAACCTATACCTCAGGCACACTTGTCCCCCCAACATGGTGACAAGAATCTTGATAGTAGCTGAAGTATCGTAAACTCGAAGCACCCATAGGATTGAGTGAGAGTGAAACTGAGAGTGAGAATGAGAGCGAGGGCTTATGAATATTCTCATGGCTTGGCTTATGGAAAAAAGTTTGTAAACAATGTGGCAATAACCACACAAGAAATCTTTTTCTCATGTTGCACACACTTCCCTCAAGTGAGGCTTTGATTTCTAAAAACGGGTTCTCATCATACTTTCTCAATTGAGAATTTCCAAACTTTGTTGCATTCATATTAAGTCAAGATTGGTAAAAGTCACATTTTTGTTCTGAAAAGAGGAAAACAAGTAACATATCTATGGGGGCAAGGTGAGAAGACCCAGAGTAGAAGCAGTTCAAATACCCATGAAGTGGTTCTCCAAGTCCATCAACTCATGAGTAAAGGGAAATCTCGGATATTCTGAATCATTCCGTTCAAGCTACCCAACTTGTCAATCAAACTATCCTTCAACGAAATATTTTGTACATCATACCTCTCGGTGAAATCAATCAAGCATGTCTAGAAAATCGACATCAACAAGACAATACCCCTAGATAAAAAAATTTCCTCTTAGCCAAGCACGACATGCTCACATGGCAAGAAGATCATTTAAACTAAATGAGCACACTATTGTGATACCACCATGCTACATAATCCTTCTACATAATCAATCTACCAGGAACATATCATGAATAAGAAGGTCATATGGCTAACGCATCAGCCACACAAGCACCAGTGTCCAAGGTAGAGAAAATTGAGGACCAACCTTTCATCAAGTCCCCAGAAATACAATACCCTGGGCTCACTAAGCAAACAAAGAGGACAAACTAGATGTCAAGCCCAGTACCTCGAGATGATGACATGCGCCAAAGAAAGGAAGTACTCATCGGTTGCACCCATTCTACTCCAGCGCAAGCATAACTAAAGATCAAGCTTACTAAAGGGACAATGACTTAGTTCCTCATGGATGATTGGTTTAAGAGAATTCTAGACATTAATATTAAACCATGATGAACGATCAGACCTTTTCATTCGCATACTTTTCAACAAATCATCATATAGCTCATCATACAGTCATTCAAACAATCCATAGCCAAATTAAATATTATTCATGCTCAAAATTCATTAAAAGGAGATGTACACTTTCAACATATCTCATCACAATATTGCATCATATCATATCACAAAATACCTTGCATTTGCACATCATGGTGAGGTCAAATTCAAATCTCTACCAAAGTCAAGTTTGGCACATACCAAAGATCTAGCTAGACTCAACAAATTGCTTGATTCAATGCCTCATATAAAGCAGAAAACTCCACACCACTCGTGATCAAGTTATACTTTCACATATCCTCATGAATTTTATCGCCATGGTACACATGATCAAACAGGCTATACCGCCACGAGCCAAAATCCAAACCAGGCTATACTGCCACAGGAAAAAAAACATGCCATAGCGCTACCATGATCTAACCAACCCCAAATCAGGCTATACCGCCATGGGAACAAGATAGAACCAGATCATGCTATATCACCATGGATAAAACCCTAAACCAGGCTCTACCGCCACAGGACCACAAAACCCCAAACCAGGCTATACTGCCACACATAAACCAATGTAGGCTATACCACCATACGAAAAACCAAAGTAGGCTATACCGCCACACAAGATACCTAAATACCAACTCAGGCCCTACCGCCAAAATACCTAAATACCAACACAGGCCATACCACCAACATATCTAAATACCAACTCAGGCCCTACCGCCGACATACCAAAAATACCAACTCAGACTGTACCATCATGATACATAAATACCAATACTGGTCCTACCGCCATGATACCTAAAAGAAACTAATTCAAGATGTACCGCCAAAAAAAATACCAGTCAGGCTATACCGCCACGGGAACAAAAATTCCAAAGCAGAATACACCGCTGCAAGAATAGAAACCCAAATCATGCTATATCACACTCTTACCCTCACATATCTTCCATAACACGACATTATCATTATTCATCCCATGATTGTCTCACAAAAAACTCTCATACTCATTATCACCATGCATCAAAATGTCTAGCGTGCTATATCCCGGACAACCCCATAAGCTGTGTCATCAATAAATGTTCAGTCCGTCATATCCCGAACAACTTGATTGCATTGTCAGAAAATGTCTAGTGTGTCATATCCCGGACAACCCAGCGCATTGTCATCAACAATAGTTCAGCTCGTCATACCCCGAACAACTTGAATGCATTTTTTTATTATTCAGCTTGTTATATCCCGGACAACTTGAGTGCTTTCTTATGCCATCGTTCAATTTGTTTAGCTAGTTTTATCACAAACAACTTGAATGGATCATCATAACCAAACAATTGACCCATCACTATTAGTGTCAAAATACGGTGTCTTAGAAAGAGCTTTGTATACCTCTCGATACCAAGAGATATACAAAGGGGGGCAACTGTAGACACCGCTTTTTGTCCGGGCAAAACATATTTAATTAAATAAATGTTAGTTTTTGTTTAAAGTTAGCAATAGCAAATTTTAAACAAAACTACTAATTGAAGTCGTATTTGTTTTGAGTTGGGTTTTGTTTTTCATAAGCAATGAGATTAGCAATAGCAAATCTGTACGAATTACAATAGCAAATCTATACGAATTAGACTTGTGATAGAAGTTGATCGTTTGCTTGACATATGAGATTGTGAGGTTGAATCTTGATTACTAAGTAATTTAAGTCTAAAGAAAGAAATAACAATTTCATTTAAGACAATTACAATAAATTAACTACATAATTAGAACAATTAATAATTACAATTTTACAATTAAGCTCAAAACTGCCCAAGTCAAAAGACCCTCAATCAAACCAGTCAACAAAGTCAAACCGGTCAGAGATCAGGTCTGACCAAACCCATATCAGTCCGACCCAACTCGGACCGGTCCGACCCAGAACCAGCACTGTTGTAAGCTTTGGGAACAAGTTTTCTTTTACTATAAAAACCCATCTGTTCCATACCTAAAGAAAAAAAAAAAAAGATGGGAGCAGACTCCCTCTCTCCTTCTTCTTCTTCATCTCTGGATCATGCCAAAACTCCCTTCCTCTTTGCACACACAGAACCATTTCTCTTCTTTCTCTTTACCACAAACCCACATAAAACAGAGGACTTCTCTTGGAACCTTTTCTCTAGAGACAGCTTCTTCTTCCCCTCGCCTCCACTTCCTGAAACAAAGACAGACAATGATGAGTACAAGACCTCTCCTAATACCGATAAAAACATAGCAGAAAAGAGAGAACAAAACTCTGCAAAAGAAAATCCGACTTTCGCTCCTTTCTTCTTACTTCTTTTAGCCACGTACAAAACACACGAAAAGCACAGCCATACACCAAAAAAGAGACTCGGCCTGTTCTTCTTATCAAACACCGACAAAACAAAAAGAAAGAGACGACAACAAGCAAACAGCGGAAAGGCAACGGCAATAGCGACGAAGACCTTGGAGGCAGAACCATCCTCAATCCTCAAAGTTGAAGGTTGGTCATTATCGGATTGAACCACCACTACCATTCATCATCATTCCCGTTTCCATCTCTACTTCTATATTTATTAACAAAATGGTTCCTAACCAATCAGCACCCAAGCAAACTAAAGGTCTGAATTCTACTGTAACCAAAAATCATGCGAGTTGCAATTATATCAAAGCTTTTTTTAAGTACAAACATATTAGTAAATGTTTAAAGTTTCTGTATATTGTAATCAAAGCTAGAACTTTATATATATATATATATAGCTATGTTTATGTTTTACTTATTGATTGATACCTATATATTCAAACATGCTCATGTTTGCTTGTAACAATTGTTTCGCTATTCCTCGTGTTAAGCATGTACCCTCACAATCATATTTGAGTTTAAACTCCTCACTCTAAGCTACAAAATCAGATTTTATAAACTAGGATTAACATGTTAATCTAAACCAACTAGACTCAAACTCAGAGAGGTATTCTGAATACCTTCCTTTTGTTTTGTTTTAATGACACCCTTTTAAACCCCAAACCATTATACGAACACACCATGATTCCAGCCTTAACAGTCCCCACAACCACGACTATCAAGCCCCAAATCAGTATAATATCATAAAAAAAAAAAAAAGCATTCAAGACTATTTTGAAAGACAACATATGACTATTCATCTTACCAATTCTGGGAACAAGAACCCTCAACAATCACACTACACGTTTCAAGAATTCACCCGCCAAAGCAAAAACATACACAAATATCCAAAGTTAGAATTGCCAACTATCAAAACCAGAGGATTATCACGACTTACCTATCTTAGTCGAAACCAGTCTCAAAACCCACAAGCGGCCCATAATCCAAGAAACTTACCCAAAAAATTCAACGTCGGCGAAACACAGAGCTCCGACGGCGGCCTTCTTCCTCCTTTCAAAGCTTTCGCCTCTTTCCCTTTGACCAGAACCCCATAGAAAAAACACCAAACCAGATTTATCAGTACCTAAACTAAAAAAGCGAATCAAACCCAGAAGAAAAAAATACTTACCAAAACTCCTCGGATCCGGTCTGCTCCTCTACCTCTGATTGAGAAAACCACTCACCGGCAGCCTTTTATCCTCCTTTTCCTCTCCTTGTCCCCATGACCAGACTCTCGTACGAAAAACACATAACCCAAAAAACAATCAGACACCAAAACGGCCAAATCGATCCCCAAACCCGACATGCAGAGGTAAGAAAGCCATCTTACCTTCGCCGTCGCGACAATCGCCTCTGTTTCTCGTTGCAGCCGCCGTTTCTCGTCGCCGCCGCAGTTTTCCCTCTTCTTCCTTTGCCATCGTCATTACCAGAAAGGGGAAGGAAAGGGTGTGAGGGAGCAGCGGCGACAGGCTTTGGCTGTCACCGATCTCTGTTTGGATAGAAAAGGAAGAATGAGAGAGAGAAGAGAGGAAGAGACGAGAAGGAGGAGAGGTATTGAGGGTTTGAGCGGCGTTTTAGTTCAGGATGAATAGTTTAGGGTTTCCATTTCAGCCTAAGGAGAGACTTATATAATACTCTTGGCTAAAAGACGTAGTTGCCCCTGTCGATTTAATGAAATTACTCCATTGCCATCTTCCCCACCTTAAAACGACGCTGTTTTAACTCGGCTCAAAACAAATATTTGTCGGTTTCCAAGATTCGAACCGCTAACCCAAAGATCATAATACTTAAACTCTCATCAACACAATAAACCACTAGACTAGGTGCCGGCCAATTATCCACATATTAATCTCAGTTCATTTTAACTTAAATAACCATAATACGTAATTTAAGCACAATTATTTCCTTAGTAAAAAGATCATTAACTTCATTTGAAATAATTGCCTTAAAAATTCTCAATACGAAATGTCATGGTTAATAAACCGTGATAGTATTTTCGTTTTAAAGTATTAAGTATTAACCATTCGGATTAAAATTTAGTAGAAAATTTGCCCTATCCTATAAAATATCACAAACCTCTTTTTTCCTAAGAGATCTCTTAATACGAAATCACGGTCAATAGACTGTGACCACTTATTAAGCCAAATTATTTCAAAAAAATCATAAGCTACTCAATTACAAGATAAAAAAACATCAAACTATATGCCTTCATCGAAAGGTCCATAACAGATCTTAAACACGAGTCAATAGAGCGTGTTAGTTACTTTCTACAAAACAAACCAACTTTAACGAACTACGTGGACTTTGATCCCGGTTACTCGGGTACGTAGGCAACCAATAGGTTCGAGTCCAACTAATTAAAAAAAATCTTTCTTCACTTTTGAGATTTTACACCAATAGATGTATGCTCAAATTGTAATAACAAAATACTTAAATTAATCGAATGCAATAATACTCAATAAGCTACAAATAATGAAACACCCAACCTTTAAAAAACTTATCGATTTGTGTAGTACCCATTATGGGGCATTGTGGGGTGTGAATACACTTCCCCACACGTAACCGTACTCCCGAACCTAGAACAATCTAAAATTCGCAGACCAGAATTCTGGTTTTAACAAAAAATTAAAACCGGAAAATGGTGTTCGACCCACCCCAAAGCACGGTCGATGGCGACTCCGAGCGTGTCACGTCGTATCCCCCGCTTTCGGAGGGGCGGTTGCAACAGGTGTTGACAAATTTCATCATGATTAATCCTTCGTTAACGAGTTCTTGGATGAAATGATAACGCAACTCGATATGCTTCGATCTTGCGTGAAATACTGGATTCTTTGTCATGGCTATGGGTAAGATGTAATCACAGTGAATAATGGTTGGACCATTTTCACTTTGATGTAAATCAGAAATTAATCTATTTAGCCATACCGCTTCGCATGCTGCATCAATAGCTGCGATATATTCTGCTTCCGCTGAAGATGAAGCCACAGTCTTCTACTTCTTTGAACTCCCGGAAATGGGTTTTGAACCCAGGCAGAATATGTACCTCGATATGCTTTTTCGATCATCTAGTGATCCTGCTCAGTCACTATTGAAATCCAGTCAGTTTGCTTTCTGCTTCTTTTTTGTACGTCATGCCCAATTTCTTTGTACCTTGAAGATACCGCAAAATTCTTTTGGCTGCTGTAAAATGAAGTTTGCTAGGTTTATTCATAAATCTTGATATAAGACTTACTAAATGACATATATCCGGTCTGGTATGTGTCAGGTAAATGAGTGACCCCACCAGACTTTTTGTACAACTTTCCATCGACTTTTTCAGTTTTATCATTGCGTTGCAATTTCTCTTTCAACGCCATCGGTGTTGAGAATGGTTTGCATGTTGCCATGTGAAATATTTTTAGCATACCTTTGGTGTACTTATCCTGTGAAATAAAAATTTCTCCAGGTGACTGCTTCCCTTGGATCCCAAGAAAATATTTCACGAGTCCCAAATCTGTCATCTCGAATTCTTTCATCATGGTACTTTTAAATTCTTCAATCATACGTTGACTTATCTATGTAAATCAAGTCATCAACATATAAGCACACCATTAGAAAATCTTTGCCTTCTCCCTTTTTTATGTAGAGAGATGCTTCACTCGGATTTCTTTGAAATCCGTTTTGCTAAAAATATCAATCAATTCTATTGTTCCACGCTCTCGGTGCTTGCTTCATACCGTATAAATCCTTTCGGAGATGATAGACTTTGCCTTCTTCTCCTTTTTTCCCATAGCCTCGTGCTTGTTCCACATCGACTTCTTCTTCCAGTTCTCCATTCAAATAGGCTGATTTGGCATCCAGCTGGTATAGTGGTAACTCCCGTTGAGCAGCTAGAGCGAGAACTGTTCTGATGGTCTCCATCCCTTCTACTAGTGCATATGTCTCATGAAAATCAATACCGGGCTGTTGTGAATAGCTTTTTGCCACCAGTCGAGCTTTGTACTTCTGGATAGAACCATCTTCATTGAACTTATCTTATAGATCCATTTGAGACTTATAACTGGCTTGTTCTGTGGTAAATCAACAAGCTCCCATGTCTTGTTTGTCTCGATCATCGAAATTTCTGCATCCATAGCCTCATTCCAAACTTCATCTTTGGCTGCTTCTTCAAAGACTTGGGGCTCACAAGAAAAATATGCAACATGACTTGTTTTATAAATTTCTTGTAAAGACCTTGTTATTAACAGAGGTGAATCCGAGTCTGTTAGGACGTCTCTGAAGTTGTCTCCTTTTGGGCTAGGTGCAGAATTTTCTTTCTGGACTTGAAACTGGATATGGGTCATTGCTGGGATCTTGGGAGTTGCTGAGTCCTCCACAATTTTATAAATTGTTTGAGATTGAGAAATTGGATTTTCCCAATTCCACTCAGCCATCTCATCAAAGATCACATCTCGAGAAACCACCACTTTGTTCTTTACTGGGTTGTAAAGACGATAGCCTTTGGACTCATCGATGTAGTTGGTGAAGATCAGCTTCTCTCCCTTCTGGTCAAACTTGTTTCGGTTTGGGGTAGAGATATGTACATAAGCTATGCACCCAAAGACTTTGAGGTGATCCACCTGTGGCCTCTTGTTCTGAACTGCTTTGGTTGGTGATCTGTTGAGGATGTAAATTGTTGTGTTGACTGCTTCTACCCACAAGTTGTTGGGAAGATTTTTTACTTTGAGCATACTTCTCGCCATCTCCACAATCATGCGGTTTTTCCGTTCTGCCACGCCATTTTGTTGTGGTGTGTAACGGATCGTCAGTTGCCTTTTGAGTCCTTTGTTGCGACAATACTCCCTGAATGGAGTATAAATAAATTCTCCTCCATGATCTGTTCGACGAGTTTTGATTTGATGGCGGCTTTCCTTCTCAACTACTACTTGAAATTGAAGGAACTTGGGAAAAGCTTCTGATTTTTGCTCCAAAAAGAATACCCACATCATTCTGGGAAAGACATCATTCTCACCATGCAGTACAAATATGTGTGAATGCAAATGGATAATGGGTACAGATGAGAAATAATAGAAGTGACCCACTGACTCGCTAAAACACAACACCTAACAATGGCCGAGTGTAACCAATGAAAGGGACTGCAGTATAGTGGCACAAGTAATAAATATCGAATCCACGGGTCTCTAGAGTTACTATTACTCAGCTTCAGTTCATTATCTAGCAAACTAGATTAAGAATTGATTGATAAACTACTCTACTGACTACTCTACTAATTACAAGTTGGGAACTCACTTAG